CATTTGTGATCTCCGGGCGCCCTCTGCTCTTCACGCGGTGATTGAAACCAGCACCAAATGCAATCCAGCTTCGTGTCCCAGCCTAACCCTGAACCTGTGCAGGGTCCCTTAACCCTAAACCTCCCCCCATTTTTGTTCCCCCCTTTTATGGGGAACTTTCATTTTTTTCTTCTCTAAAACCTCTGCCAGCTGCAGCCTGTAGGGCACCCCCAGCGCAATCATGTGTTTACATATGATTTAAAAAACATTTGTTATTTATGTGTATAACATTTATATGGTATTTATTTATAGGACATCGATTTATATTATTTCAATATGCTTTTAATAGCGTTGATTTAAGAAGCAATTACGTGCTATTTATTTGAGCAAAATTAATGTGTTTTAGATGATAAAATATGATTTTTATATTATCTAATTAACACTTACTTGTTATTTAAATACCGCGACCCCGCCAAGGCCTGAGCCCCCGCCAGGCCGCGGCGTCGCCATGGCAACACGGGGGGGGACGAGTTCAAGGGGACACATGGGTGGGTGGCGCTGTCCCTCTGCAGCCTGGCGGGGCCCAAACAGGATTTTTTTTACACCAAATCTCAAAAATCTCTCCTTTTCGCCCCAAAGAGGCTGTGCCTGCGCTGGTGGCGCTGTCACTTGTCCCCATCCCTGCCCCGTATCGCTCTCCCCGGAACATTTCTACCTCGGAACGTTTCTCCTCATTGCGGTTCCCGTCCGGCGCCCGGGAGCGTTAGCAAAATGGCGGCGCCCATGAGCGGGGAGAGCGGGGGCTCCGAGCCCGGCGCGGCTCCTTACGGGAACTTCCCGAATTATTCCCGGTTCCACCCGCCCGAGGGCCGCATCAGCCTCCTGCCCCGAGGGCTCCTGCGCAGCCTCTTCCCCGCGGCCGCCCGCCCGCTCCTCGGGCTCGATGTGGGCTGCAACTCCGGGGTGAGGGGGCGGCCGGGCGGGTTTGGGGCGCCCTGAGGGGATGGGGTGGGGGCAACTGGGGAGGTACCGGTTTGGGGTGCTGGGGGCACTGGGGCAGACTGGGGGGCACTGATGTGGGGTACTGGGGACACTGGGGGGCACTGGTAGGGGACACTGTGAGGCTCTGGCGGTGGCACTGGGGACACTGGGACAGACTGGGAGACCCCTGGTACTGGGGGCACTGGCACAGACCGGGTGGGGGACACTGGGCAGACTGAGGGTACTGGTGGGGGCTACTGGGGGGCACTGGGGACACTGGGGCAGACTGGGAGTCCCCTGGTACTCTCAGTCCACAGTGGCACAGACCGGGTGGGGGCCACTGGGGACACTGGGGGACACTGGTAGGGGACACTGGGGTAGATTGGGAGTCCCCTGGTACTGGGGGCACTGGCACAGACCGGGTGGGGGCCATTGGGGACACTGGGGAGCACTTGTGGGGGCCACTGGGGACACTGGGGGCACTGGTGGGGGACACTGGGGCAGACCGGGGGTCCCCTGGTACTGGGGGCACTGGCACAGACCGGGTGGGGGACACTGGGGACACTGGAGGGCACTGGTAGGGGGCACTGGGGACACTGGGAGTCCCCTGGTACATGGGGCACTGGGCAGACTGGGTGGCACTGGTGGGGGCCACTGGGCAGACAGGTCACTGGTGGGGGGGACAGGGTTGACACTGGGACAAACTGGGGGGCACTTGGGGGCACTGGGGGACAATGCAGCCTATG